CCTCCTCCTCCTCCTCCTCCTCCTCCTCCTCCTCGTCCTCCTGTTCCTCCTCCTCGTCCTCCTCGTCCTCGTCCTCGTCCTCGTCCTCCTCCTCCTCCTCCTCCTCCCCCTCCTGGTCGTCGTCGTCTTGCAGGGCCGGCGGCACCGGCCGTCAGGCCTCCACAAAACATTCAGAGAGAGGCGGCAGCGACGCACAGGCACAGAGTGCCAGGGAGTGTGCGGGGAGCAGCGGGCGCACTGGGCAAGGCGCTCGCGCAGGGGCGACGAAACCGGACCACCATGAGTTGGAGGGGAGCGGATCCAAGGAATCCGCGCGGAGCGCCAAAGGCTTATGCTGATGCGGTTTTCTCGACTTCGAGAACCCAGACCTGGTGCGGAGCAAGTGCGACTGGACGCGCTGGCACCCATTGCCATGCCCTTCCGCCCCCATCCCGTCGCCCTCTCCTTCAAATGCGTCCCTCTGCGCACATGCCAAACACTCTCGTGACATCCTGTGGCGCTCTGTCCTGCGACAGGCTGATTACCCAACAAACCGCTGCCACACGGCTGCCTTGCTGCGGCAAGCAGGAAAAGGAAAGAAGCGGTATCGTCGGGTGGCCAAACAGAGGATGCCAGTTGGCCACGAAGAACACGTAGTCCTGAGAAATGTTGGACTGACACTTGCTCACGATCCGCCAGAATTTACCAGCCTGGAGCATATCCTTATCCCTATGTTCGGCATCGCCTCATCACGATGGCGATCTTAGGGGTTCCCTCAGTTTCTGAGGGTGCATCCCTAAGATTGTCATCACCTTTTGGCGTGTCAATCTCAGGGATAGGGATAGGCTCGAGGCTGGTGAGCAGTGCCCAAAAAGATGCATTGAAACGTCCGCAAATCCCTTCGGGCTCTCCGCATTTGAGGTCCGTGAGAATTCGGCTCGGGGCCGGCGGCCCGAAGGCCCGGGCCGTTCTCGAGCGCCTTCGCGCGCGCCTGGGGGTCCCCGCGTGTGACTCTTCGATGGACCGAGCGCGCGCTGCTCGGGACATGCATGCCCTGCATGATGTCTCCGAGTGCCCCAGGGACCGTCCTGGAGCCTTCTTGGGCGCCGCGTGGGGCCATCTTGAAGAAGCCCTGCCTCGAAGAGTCTGAGCTGTGAGAACTGCAAACCGGTTACGCACCGACGTCCTGTGACCATACCACAACTAGGTTAGATGTAGCAATAACTTTCGGTGTGACGTGACGGGGTGCTTCCACGTTTACCAGTACTTTTCGTAATGTGTCAGAACTTCCTACAATTTATCGTAACCCCCCCCAGCGCGGGTCGCACGAGTCAAGTCGAGCCACTGACACGGAGGGCGGAATGTCGGACTCGGTGCCCCCCAACCCTCCCCGCGGGCGGGGGCCTTGCAAGCTAGCCTCGCGATTGGCTTTCTCTGATATATTTGCTAGTCTCACGATTGCAACTTTGTGACGGTCCGCGGTTACATCGCTAAGCCACGCAGGATTCTGCGGGATCTACGAAAGGTTATGGTTTCAACTTTACACATGCGCAAGCACACATGCACTTCACCTGAAATCCCAACGTAGGCACATATTTATAGAGAGAGAGAGAGAGCGAGAGAGAGAGAGAGAGAGAGAGAGCGAGAGAGAGTCCGACCGATCGACACGGGGAGCCGCAAGGGTCGCGTTTCGGCGTCGGCCGCGACTCCCAAGAAGGACGATGCGAGCGCGAGGGCGAATCGGTCGCCCAAGGACCGGGCGGGACAGAGGGCGCCAGAGGCGGCGCTGGCCAGGGCGGCGGCCGTGGCGGCTGCGGCAGCCGCGAAAGCGGCGGCCACGCGGGCCGCAGGACGTGCTGCAGGCGCTGCTCCCCTGGCGCAGCCAGCGCGCCTTGGACGTGATGGGGGGTGGGCGGGGGAGAGGGGGCCAGGGGGGTTCTCGCGACGACGAGATTGCTTTGCGCGACGCACTCGGCGAGTGTTTACCTAGGCGTGGTACTTCGCCTCCGGGTTCCTGTCCAAGGCGTTCCTTTTCATGCACTTCGCTTTCAGCACCGCCTGCTCTGGGGGCTTTGCCCTCTCTCGGCCTTGACGTGAGGCCCCGCCTTCTGTTTCCCTTCCTCTGTTAATAAAAGCTGTGCGCGGCCCGCTCAGCTTCGACCGGTAGAGGCTCGCTCTCGACCCGCGAGTCAAAACATATGTTTATCTAGGCGCAGCGCTCGTGCATTCCAGTCCCTCTGGATACGTACTCCTTCGGCGGTGTGAAGCACTTCTGGCTCGCCACGGCGCGCCTGTAGCAAACATGGCAAACCTCTCGGCTGCACGTCGCGTCACGGCCAGCACTTGCGCGAAGCGAACTCTGAAGCGCAGGGGAACGCGCCGGGAACCACAACACCTGCAAAAATAACACGCATGGCAATATCGTCATGTGCTGTAAGACGGATGAAGACGGAAGGTAACTGAAAAGTAACTGACACGGTAACTGGGGATGACCGACGCTCCACGTCTCACACGGGCTTGTAGGTAGCTGCATCGACAACCTACCAGGTAACTAAGGTAACGATTTCTATCATGGACCCCCGCGACATCAGTAAGTAACTATAGAGGTGACTGCACGTAACTGGGAATCCCATGTTTTCGCATCACCCACTACCTCGCATCCCCCTCGCCCCCCTTCCTCCCCCCCGCTCCACCTTCTCCAGGGGCATGCGGAAGACGGAGGGATGGGCGGAGAGGGCGTGCGGGGACGAGGCCGAGGAAAAGGGAGGGGGCCCGAAGATGGCCCCCAATGTGGGCGACAATAGGCCAACATAATTATGTCACAATGGATTCCGAGAGGGTTCCAAGCGTCACCAGTTTCATTGTAATCTTCTGGGACGAAGGCGGCGGCCCAGCCATCAAGAGACATCCAAGAGGGTTCCAGGAAGCTCCCAGGAGGCCCCCGAAATGACCCAAGAAGCTCCCAAGGGGTCTCCTCGTCCTTCCCACCCTCCTTGATATTCCCTCTCCTCATCCTAATCTTCCTCCCTCATGTGTTCCCCCAAAGGCTTGCACGAAGGCTCGGGGAACGCATGGTCCGATTGCGCAGCCAAACTTTGCCCAACTGTTTTGACCACATAGGCGCACCATGAAGGACAGGACGCGGCAGTGATTCGCCGCAAGCGTCTCCGATGATATCCCCCACAATGCCGCGAGGCACTAATTGGGGGGAAGTCCGCGGAACCCTTAGAGTCCTCGATGCTGAAGGGTACTAATGCTGTCTGAAGGGACCAGGTCCAGGACTCCTGGCATTCTGGGCCGCTCCTGGGCGCTTGGCGACGTGGGCGCCACCCGGGCAACCTCGAAGACTGATGGGACTCGGCGGCGAGCCCAGAAGGGGGAAGTGAGAAGGGGAGGGCGCCCTCAAAAAGGCTCGGAAATCCCCCGGCCTTCCGAGAAGCGCTCCAAGCCCCTTCCCCGAAAGCACGGGAGACTTCTCAGACGGCGCGAGGGCCTTCCGAGAGTCCCGCCGCCCTCCGAAGGCGGCCTCCTCCGCCTCGCCCCCCCCCCATGGGCGCGCCGCCGAGGTCCTGCACGCGGCACAACTGGGTACCACGAACGGCGCGAGCGCTACCCGGCCAGCCGCTGGCCCCGGGGAGCAGGGCGGCAGCACGCCTCTGCTGCCCAGAGTGCCAGGGATCGAGACAGCCTTTTTTGGGGGCCGTTCACGACGTAAGCAGGGCACTCGTTGGGAACCCGGCGCCCTCTAGATCTAGGAGTCCTTTGGGACCTGGAGGCCTGGTCAGGTGGCGACTCAACGATGAATTGCTCCACAGTTGGCGGGCGCATCGTGAGACGGCGCACAACGAAAGAGGGGCTCGTGGACCACGCCTCAGCAAGTGGCCTATGCCTCCTCGCCTGGGTTTGAAGGGGTCCCCAGCCGTGCCAGAATCGAGATAACCTGCGCTTCGCACACAGAGGCGGGAACAACAACCGCGAGGGCGTAAACGGAGGCACCACGACCGATCCCCGAGTCCTTCCAAAAAATTCCAGACCAATAGTAGCTCGTGGCCAGGTCGCGTGCCAGCTCGTTCTCGTACGAGACGCCGTTCCGCCTCGCGCTCTCCAGTACGCTTGCTGCCTTGCCTCCTCCTCCTCCTCGCCCTCATCTGAGCAACGCCTCCCACCTCCCCTTCCCACCACCATCACTACTACAACTCCGTCCCCTTCCAGACCAGAGCTGCTGCGAAGAGGCAATGGCGCACTTCCTGACTCGCCTCAATCGGCCACGATCGCACCCACACGCCTTGCATTCCCCGCACCCGTCACTGGGGCAAACGACGTCGGTGGTGAAGAGCACGAATGAAGATTGCCAGCGAAAGCAGGACGACCCAACCGACAATGCGTGAATGAAGAAAGTCTGAAGAAAATCGGCTGCGCGTGGCGGTACGGCAATCAAGACCAAGGAATACGTTGAATGGCCAGGCCGTGGCGCCCGCTCACATCCCTCGTCCCCCCCCCAATCCTCACCTCTGACCATCACATCCCCCCCGCTTCTGCTCAGACTGATCGCCAGACTTTGAAGGTGCCCCACTCAGCAGAGCATCTCTGCAGCATCCGCCCGCGACGAAGCCGATCGCCCCGCGATCTGCGGGGTCGGCGCCCCAACCAGACGGGGGGGTGGCCCGTGTGTGTGTGTTGTTTTTGTGTGTGTGTTGTTTTGTGTGTCTGTGTTTGTGTGTGTGTGTTGTGTTGTGTGTGTGGTTTGTGTTGTTTGTGTGGTGTTTGTGTGGTTTGTTGTGTGTGTGTGTGTGTGAGTTGTGTTTTTTTCGCACCAACCCATGCACGAACCCACCGCGCGTGTCTGCGCAACTGACCTCCGTGAATAGGCGCTCCAGGGCAACGAGCCACCGAAGGGGAGCGATTGGGACGCTTACGGGGAAGCCGAGATGTGCGAGGGGCATGTCACAAGGAATGCAGAGGGCAGCAGGCTCGATTGGTTAAGGGTCTTCTCCTCCCTTTCCTCCTCTCCTCCTCTCCTCCTACTGACGTGGCTTCCACTCGCTTATCCCCCTACTCCGCTCCCTCCCCCTCCCAAGCCTCACTCCTTCCTCCTTCCTTCTGTCTTATACATCCATCTTTCGCCTTCTCAGCCCTTCTCCTCCTCATCCCCCTCATCCTATCCCTCGTCTTCCTCCTCGTCCTCCTCCTCCTCAGCCGTACACCCGTTACGACTGTTCCTCCCCCTCCTCCTCCTCCTCCTCCTCCTCCTCCTCCTCCTCCTCCTCTTCCTCCTCCTCCTCCTCCTCTCCTCCTCATCCGAATCCATCTGGCATCTGTCCTCCTCCTCCTCCTCCTCCTTTCTCCCATCCGCCTCCCCCTCCCCCGGAGACCTCCGACGCCATGTTTTGTTCACGGCGTGGCCCCGCAGAGATTTCGCCCCCGCCCCCAAAGATCTCGTCCCTGGTCGTCTTCAAGACGGTCCCCTGGCCTGCAGTGGCTGCAGGGGAAAACTGCCGTCCCGATACTCCGTGACGAAGGACGCCTCGGTCCTCCTCTTCCTCCTCCTCCTCCTCCTCCTCCTCCTCCTCCTCCTCCTCCTCCTCCTCCCCCCACCGGTCCGGCCACCGGTTCCTCATCCGTCTTCTCCTCGTCCTCCTCCCTCCCCCTCCCTCCCCCTTCTCCTCCTCCCGGCCGCTCCAGCCTGTCGTCTTCGTACTCGATGCCGAACACGACCTCCTTCTCCTTGTCGTAGGTGGCGGACGTTGCTTGCTGCGCCCGACCTGCTCGCGGGGGGTTGGCGACCAGAGATGGCGCATGGAGCGGAGGCAGCAGGGAAAAAGGATGAAGAGAATGGGGGAGGGAAGGAAGGAAGGGAGGAGACGAGAGGAAAAGGGCAGCAATGGGGAGCACGAGTGCGAGGAGGAGGCGGAGGAGGAGGATTCGAAGGCGAAGGTGGGAAGGGAGGAGGGAGGGAGGGAGGGAGGGAGCAGGGAAAGGAGCTTCAGGGGTATCAAATGAGCGCACCGGGGTGCGTCGCCTGCAGCTGCTGAACTAAGCTGGCTGCCGCAAGGGATCGGGAGGCGTGCGCGACAACATTCGTGGTGCACGTCTTGGTTCTGCAAGCGGGTGGCCATTTGGCGCGAGGAAATTCACACTTGTCAATATTTGCATGGTTGCCAATTGAGAATTATCCCATTATACGCTAGACTCTGCAGACAGGTGTCGTGGGTCAAGCGTGGCCGTCTTGCCGCACGACCTGCAAAAGGGGGAAGAGAGAAGGGCGCAGGAGAGGGAGATGGAGGATATGAGGACGAAGGAGGACCGAAGGTAGGAATATAGACAAAGGGGGGCTGACCATAGCAGACGGAAGGGGGGGGCGAAAGGAACAAAACTGGAAGGGGAATTGAATGCGTGGTCCTCCACAGCTGCGGATCAAAGCGAGGGTGCTCCCGCGCAGGGGCGCACCGTGGTTTTCTCCAAAGCCACTGCCAACTAGTTCGCCGCAGGCGCCGATCGATGGGCGGGTGGGCCGCGGATGGGTATTCGGCGGGTCGGCGGACGAGTTGGGCAGCGGGTCGCAGGTGGGTCGTGCGGCGGGGCAGATCGCGGCTGGATCGTGACTGGGTCGCGGGAAGTGGCGCGGATGTGTCGTGGGGCGGGGCCGGCAACAGGAACATCCCACCAGCCCTTTGGGCGACAGGTGGTCTAACGAGGGTCTCGTGCCTCTTCCACAAGCCCTCTTCCCTCAGGGGAGGGGAACTTCCCTTTCCCCTCCCTGAAGTTTTTTGGGAGGGGGTCGCGATGTGTCAGAGGCTCCTGTTTCTGCCATTGGGAGGGCCACTGTTCGCCACCCCTCACGAGGATCGTGGCCCCCGAGGGGGGGACGCAAATCTAGTACCCCCACTCTTTTGACCGTCCGCCTCCAAGATGGCCCCAAGGGGAGAGGCCCTCCAGGGCTCCCGGGAGGCGCCCAAGAGGGCCCCAAAAGCGCCCCAAGAAGCCCCAAGAGGCCTCCAAGAGGCCCCCGAGAGGCCCCCAAGAGGCCCCCGAGCGGCTCCCGAGGGGCCTCAGAGAGCCCAAGACGACCTTCAAGATGGCTCAGGATGACCCAAGCTAGCTCCAGATGGCTCCCAAGATGCTCCAAGAGGCCCCAAGACCGCTCAAAGACTGCTTAAGATGGCCACGGAGCCTCCCCAAGATGCTTGAGATGCAAACATTCTTCAAAAACGTAGCGGAAATCAATGGTACTGGCATGCTCGCCGTTTTGCTTTCGATGGCCTTCCGGGGCTCAAGATGGCTCCAAGATGGCTCAAGAGGGCCCCAAGAGAGGCCCAAGGAAGCCACAAAACGGCCCCAAGAACGCCCAAGAGCGCCCCAAAAGCGATCCAAGAGGGGCCCAGGAGGCAATTTTGGGTACTCTCGAGAGGCGACGCTACTTGAAGCTCACACTACTTTTATCGATCTCCTCCAAGATGGACCCAAGGGCGCCCTCCGAAGAGCGCCCCAAGAGGACCCAAAACCTCTCCAACACGGCTCCGAGTGGCCAAGATGGCCACTGCGAGGGTCAATTTTGGCACACACACACACATATCGAGACCCCCCCTCTTTTGACCGACCGCGTCCAAGATGGCCCCAAGAGGCCCTCCAGGGCTCCCAAGCGACCCCCAAAGGGCCCTCAAGAGCGCCCCAAGAGGCTCAAAGAGGCCTCCCAGAGGCACCCGAGAGGCCCGCAAGGCTGTTCCCATCGCATGTCAGGGCCACGTCCCAGAAATAAGTTTTGAGCACGCAGGACAGTATCGAAATAGTGTGCCCGACACGCTGGCGAAGTGCCGAACGAGTCTCGCCTCCCAAGGCCCGACGCGTGAAAACCGTCCAGTGTCGGTAATCTCCTGGTGCTCGAAGTATTTCCTGGTGGCCAGAACTAAGAAAGGCTGGAGCATCATAACTGAAGGGGCCCTGGGACACACACACACATATATATATATATATATATATTAAAATAAATACACACAAATAAAAAGATTCCCCATGGTTTCCCATAGTTACTGGGTTTTTGCCTCCCCCCCACTTCCCATGTTTTCCCATACTTTCTGGGAATCGACGACTCATTGTGTCTGTGTGCTTCTTCCCCTCCGGAACAACACCGGGGGGTCGAGGCCTCCCTCCCTCGGCCTGCCCCCCCCCCTGTCGTCCAATGAGCGCTGGGCCACCTCAGGCCCCCCACCGACTCCAGGCGTCCACGGCCCTCTCCGCGGGCAGGCAATCCCAGCGTCGAATCTATATATATGTATATATATATATACACATATCTATACGCACATACACATACACATACATATAGTGATACATATATGTGTGTGAATATATATATATATATATATATATATATATATCTAAAACTGTATGTATATACACACACATGTGCACACATATGTACATATTTATGTATATATAGATATATTTATTTCCACCTATATACATGCAGTATACATGTATACGCCGCATCGGCGATCGAAGTGAATCGGATTGGCGCACATCGGCAACTGTATCGGAAGACGCCGAAATCGGCGGAAAGCGGCAGGCCATCAGGCCTCCAAGGAGGCATCGGAAGCCCAGATGGGAGCCCGACGCCGAGACGAATGGGAATCATAAGGCATTTCGAACGAAACCACATCGAATCGGATCGGAGGAATCGAAGCGAGCCCTGCATAGCCGACTCCAGGCGCCGATGTTGAGCAGGGATCGACCGTCCTGACACTCCTGTAGGCCTACCACGAGATTGTTCTCAATTATATTCGAATGGCAGAAGGCAATGCTCAGATAACATAACCCCATGTGCTAAACAAGACAGTATGAGCCAACAATGATCTAAGAACATCTCGCGCAAACCCCAAAGGTTCGTAGCACTTTCTCTGACGGGTCTGTAGATGATTAGGCCAGGACGCTTCACCACTGCCCGACGATATTAACAGTGGATGTGTCGACCCCTTATCACAGGTTTGGGGAAGTTTTCGAATGGCTGGAGAATTTGGGGCCCAACCGTAGGATATACGAGGGGGGGCGTCCATCCTTGATAGGGGTGCGTCCGAATAGCCGCCTGGGGTGTATCCCAGGGTTCCCCTCCTTCTCTTGGCCGCGTCATACTTCGTCGAGAAGTCGGGGGTTGGGATAGAAGCATCGCCTGCGAGATGGCCCTCCCCGCGGGAGATGGGGGGGAGAAGACTGGATGAGGGGGGAGGAGGGCCCCCCCCCCCGAGGCCGAAACTTGTCAACAACCTCCCGCCCTGATTCTTTACGACGCAATCGTGTCTGGGTCGCCACGAGGAGGGGAAGGAGGAGGGGGAGGAGAAGGAGGAGGAGGAGGAGAGCCCTTCTGGCACAGGTTGCCCTGTGTCACTGCTGCCAGGCTGGATTTCGCGATGGTCGTCGCTGCCAGGCTGGATTTCGTCCTTGGCATGGTCGAGACCGGTGCTCAGGTGCTGTTCTCCTACCTCCCCAACGCGGACTCAGGCAAGTTGAAGGTAAAGATTCTCATCCGCGAGACCGGGCAGCCCCCATGCGTGTTGTTCACGACCCACGGTGTTGAGCAAGTGCAGTTCTTGCGCCAACTCGTTTCTTCATTTTCTGTGGTCGATCGTGGACACAAGCACACAGACGGGACCATGGAAATTTGCATGTGGTTCATCCCGCATAAGCCAGCGCTGCTACGACATGACGCTCCGGAGTTCACACCACCGTGCGAAGGTGGGAGCCCCTTCCGTCGTGGGTCGCTTGCTGGACATGGCTCGTTTTTCTGGCTCCTGGCCTGCGGCCTGGCCCTTGGGGGCCTCGTGTCCTGGGGTGTCGTGGTGGTCCAGTGCCTGTGCTCCCCCCTTGCGGCCTCCCTTTCTCCCTGTCTTCTTTCTTCCTCCCTTGCGTCTCCCCTCTTGGGGGGGTGCTTTGGCACTGGGCCCTTGCTCTTTTGGTCTCGGGGGCTCCGGGGACCCTCGTCGCCACGTCTCTTTCTCTTCCCGTCTCTAGGATAGGCAGCGAACCACCAATACCTTTACGAGCGAGCGAGCGAGCGAGGAGGAGGAGGAGGAGGAGGAGGAGAGGGAGAAGGAGGAGGGGGAGGAGGGCAAGCTAGGTGCGCTCTCGTCATATCTGACGTCCTACCCCTCCCTCCCATCCCTCACCATGGCGTAGATCGTCTTTGCATTCAAGCAATTCGATATCGTAGCATGGCATAGCATCACATGGCATAGCATGGTGTCGGAGATCAACGCGGAGCATGACATTGCATGGCGTGGCGACACTTCTGCGGCCCAAAACATCAACGAATCGACACCGAATGTGTAATCACTTCCGATGGTTTCTTCGGAACGCCATTTTCTAGATTTTGGGGCCTGTTCGGAAGGACAGAAAGCCATGCCGTGGCATGGCGCTGGGAATAATTACGGCACCGCTGCAGCGGGAGCACGATTCGGAACGAGCAGTCCCCGAAAATGAAGCCAGCGCTTCAGCGAGAGCAGCATTTTGAAAAAAACAAGTGGAAACCAAACACCTGGGAATCCTGTAAAAAAACTGCACGCGGAGGATAGCCGGACATTTCCAAAACGCCACCAGGGGAGACAGGAGAGAGGGGGGGAGGGGGAGGAGGATGAGGAGGAGGAGGAGCAGGAGGAGGAGGAGGAGGAGGAGGAAGAGGAGGAAGAGGAGGAGGAGGAGGAGGAGGAGGAGGAGAGGAGGAGGAGAAGGGGTAGGAGGTGGAGAGAGGAGGAGGAGGAGAAAAAGGAGGAGGAGGAAGAGAGGAGGAAGAGGAGGAGAAGGTGGAAAAGCAGGAGGAGGAGGGGGAGGAGGAGGAGGAGGAGGAGGAGGAGGGAGGAGGAGGAGGAGGAGGAGGAGGAGGAGGAGGAGGAGGAGGAGGAGGAGGAGGAGGAGGAGGAGGAGGAGGAGGAGGAGGAGGAGAGGAGGAGGAGGAGGAGGAGGAGGAGGAGGAGGAGGGAGGAGGAGGAGGAGGAGCAGGAGGAGGAGGAGGAGGAGAGGAAGCAGGAGCAGGAGGAGGAGGAGGAGGAGGAGGAGGGGGAGGACAACGACGACTCTTCGCCGCTGCTCCACGACGACGCCCCCGCGGCCCGCCGGGCCTCCGAACAGACCGCCGAGACCGCTCCTCTCCGAGGCGCCGCGGGTGGGCCGCTCGGGCCACCGCGCGGGGCGCGGGGGCGCCGGCGCCTGGCGGCGGGCGCGCGGCGACGACGATGACGACGACGCCGACGACGACGACGACGCCGACGACGACGACGCCGACGACGAAGACGACGACGGAGACGATGCCGACGACGCCGACGACGACGACGACGACCCGCCGCCTCCCGCCGGCCGACGTCTAAATGGCCGGTGGCGCGCGCGCCGTCGAGGGCGGGCGGTGCCGGCCGCCGTCGCCGCCGTCGCCGGCGGGCGGCGAGCGAGGTCGGCCCCAGACAGGATCGCGTCGAACACAGATCAGGACGGCAGGTTTTGGGCCGCTTCCGGCCTCGGGAGGCCCGAGCCGGGCCTCGGGACCGTCAACAAGAAGACTCAGGAAGACAAACCAGTCCATGGCCATCGCTCGGACGTCCATTCCCTGTGTTTTTTTCGATGTCGTGCGTGTTTTTTTGTTTTCCGCCAAATGATCAAGGATGCTCCTCGATGGTCCTCGCCGATGGAAAAATGCACACGTCCGAGCGATGCCAAGGTTCTGGAGAAAGGGTCGGGACTTCCAGGGACGCCGCCCGGACAAAAGTCGGGACGCCGCATGTCTCGGGCGGTCTTCGAGGCCCGAGAGGTCGAGGCTTCGGAGCGCGCGGGCGGGAGGGGGGCGCGGGATCCGCCGCTCCAGGGCGGCAAGAGCACGGAGGGCATCGGGGTGCCCTCACCGAATGGACCTCGATCCAATGCCTCGGCCCCACCGCATCCGACTCCGCCTGCAGCCTCATGGGTCGTCCGACTTCGCGCGCCGCGTCCCGTGCGTTGGCGGCGAGCCAGGGGGGAAGTGAGCAGGAGAGGGCCTCTTCAGAGGGTTCGGAAGCCCCCCGGCCTTCCGAGAAGCCTCCTGAGCCTTCCCCGAAGACGCAGCGACAACCTCTCGGGAGGCGCCAGAGGCTCCGCCGCCTTCTGAGAGGACCCTGTCCTTCTAACGTCCTCCTCGCCGCCCCGTGAGGCGCGATGCCACTCGCGTGAGGTCGGGCATGTCCTCCTGCAGGCGGATGTAGGAAGAAAAAGTAAGAATAGCCAACAGAAAGATTCAAACAGCCAAGAACAACCAGAAAATCGTCCCAGGACTAATGTTTGACTGGTTTGGGATCTTCCTCCTGCAGATCGGGGATGGACAGACCCCCCTTTAGTAAAACGTGGTTTAGTGAAAACGACCTGAGGCCCAAACCTGGCGGGCGCGAGCCTGGAAAATAATGGCCACGGCGCCCTCTCGGGAACCGAAAACGGACAATTCACTAATCGACGTGTCAGGGTAGGAGGTCTGTCCACCCCCGATCCTCCTGCAGAAGGCCATGCCCGGCTCAACACTGGCGCCACCGCGCCGCCGCCCGGGAGACGGGCAGCCGCTCCGGCCCAGGCCGCCACGCGCGCAGGCGCGGTGCCCCCGCGCCGCCCCTATAAGGGGGGGGGGGGGGAAGGGGCCTCCTCCGCCGCGCGCGCTCCCCTCCCGGTCGCCCGGGCGCTGCTTTATGGCGGGGCAACAATGAAGGGGCCCTGGGACACACAAATTCGCGCCGCATCGCCAATACATCGGCGATGCATCGTCGATGCATCGGCGATGCACCAGCGATGCGTCTTCGACGTGGGTGATGCATCGGCGACGTCGACGTGAAGAAAATCGGGCTCCACATCGAGCCGCATCGGCGACGCGGCGCAGTCCTCCGACCCCATCTACTCCGACCCCATGTGGGAGGCCTAGAAGAAGCTGAAGCGGGCCTGGGGCGCGGTGAGAGCCACAAGCGCCTCGAGCCTGACCGGCCACGGCGGTTCGCAACGCTCAGTGACATTCAAACGCAACGTCTGGGGACCGACAGAAGCTGAAACGCAACGCCAGGGGACAGACGTAGAAAGCAGGTCAGCAAGCACCGCCAGCTCACCTTCGGGGCTCCACCACGGGGGCCCTGGTGGCTCCTCCCCGCGCCCCCCCCACGACGGCACGCCCGAATCGCGCCAGGGACCCCCCGTTTGACGACCTACAGGGCAGTTATTAATACATAGGATGTTTAAGCATATAGGATTTGTAATACATGATTACTGTATGAATAAGTGTTTGCATGAACCCATCGTTGTTTTTAATATAAAAAACTGCATGTTTTGCACTTTTATACATGATCCGCATGCGGAGCATGTAAAACAACGGCACTGTATCAGGACCGCCCCAGCCCAAGCCGAGATTCCAAGCTGCAATGTTTTATTCGGGAGGGGGGGGGGCGTGCGGGCTCCACCTGCGTTTTTTTGTCCGACGTTCCAGGACTCCACCCACACTGGGAATGGGAGAACATTCGGGGCCTTCGGGTTTGGGCTGGGCTGGGGTGGTTTGGTGGGCAGTGACCTTCTCTGCTAAGCAATCAAGGTGCCCGTAATCCTTTGGGAGGGGACCTGAGTTAGAAGGCCAACACACATCCGGGATATGGAGTCTTGTCTTGCAGATGTGCCAGACGAAACAACCCAGATGCTCAGGCATGTCTCTAAGAACAGCGGGCCTCAGGTAGGCCACGAGTTCATTGCGATGCTTCACTCCTCCTCCTCCTGATACTTCGCATCCTCCTCATCCACCTCCTCCTCCTCCTCCTTCTCCTCCTCCTAGTCACACTTCACTTCCTCCTCCTCCTCCTCCTCCTCCTCCCCCTTCTCGAGGATGGGGGCCTCAGTTAGGCCACGCGTTCATTGCCATACTTCGCTCCTCCTGCTCCTTTTCCTCTTCCTCCTCCTCATTTTCCTCGTACTTCACCTTCTCCTCCTCCTCACACTTCACCTCCTCCTCCTCCTCCTCTTTCTCCTCCTCCCCCTTCTCCTCGAGGATAGGGGGCCTCAATTGGGCCGCGCGCTCCTTGCGACGTCAGGCCTGCGGTTGCCCTGCTCCGCTCCGCGACTCGCCGGCGGGGAGGCGGCGCGGAGGCGCCCTGCTGGCGTGGGCGCCCCCGGTGAGCGGCTCCATCTCCTCTCGCGCGCGTGGGGGCTCCGAGAATGCTGCTCTGGTGAGCTCCTCCCGCCCCCCGCGACGGATGCCCATCGTGCCCCGCCCACCCTCCTCTTTGTTTTTGTTACAGCGCAAGGCTCAACCCGCCATGCCACCAAGAGTGGTTCTTGGGTAGGCATGAGTCCCAGAGAGCTACCAACGACACGCCAGAGGCCCACGCCTAGCGCTCACGACGAAAACAACAACACCAACAACAACAACAACAACATCATCATCATCATCATCATCATCATCAGCATCATCATCATCATCATCATCATCATCATCATCATCATCATCATCATCATCATCATCTTCATCATCATCATCATCATCAGCAGCATCATCAGCATCATCAGCATCATCAGCAGCATCATCATCAGCATCATCATCATGACCATCAGCACCATCATCATCATCATCACCACCAGCATCATCATGAGCATCATCATCGTCATCATCATCATCAGCAGCACCATCATCAGTATCATCATCATCAGCATCATCATCAGCATCATCATCATCAGCATCATCATCACCATGCTCCTTATCAGCAGCATCATCACCACCATCATCATCACCACCAACACCAACACCATCATCCTCATCCTTCATCCTCATCCTCATCCTCATCATCATCATCAACATCATCACCATCAGCATCTACATCACCATCACCATCATCATCAACATCATCATCGTGCCCCCCTCCCTTGTTTCTTCACGGCGCAGAGACATGTTGGGCGAACAGGAGCGTCGTGGCCGTGGCCCTCGTGCGAACAAAATGACTGCCGACCCGACCGAGGCCAACAGATTCCGCCACGGTGAACTTCTCCTGCGCCCGCGACGGATGCCCATCTCGCCCCCCCCCCTGTACGACCAGCGCGCGGAGGATGGCAACTTGCCAGCCTCCCCACCGAGGGAAGAGGGGACTCCACCGTGCGAAGCACCAGCCACGAGGGCGAGGAGGGAGAGTGGGCAGCGTGGCTGCCAGAATTGGCTGTGGCACGCGTTGGCCCCACCTCTTTTGTTGTTGTTGTTGCCTGCTACAGCGCCGAAACATGCCGGGCGAACTGGAGCGTCGTGACTGTAGCGCTCGTGCCAAAAGGTGGCTGCCGACTTCGGCCGCAAGGCCAACAAACTACGCCTGGCGGGGGCAGCAGAGTGCACGAGAGGCGAGAGAGGCAACAGCACGCGAAGAACGAGCCCACCAGAGCACGGAGCACGTGCAGGAGTGAGAGAGAGGACCCTCCTCCTCCTCCTCCTCCTCCTCCTCCTCCTCCTCCTTCTCTCGTTCACTCCCTCCGCCACTCCCTCCTGATCTTCTCATGCCCCCGAAGGCGGACTTTCCTCCAGGGTGCTGTGCCCGTCGCCTGCTGCCGTTGCTGCCTGCGGTCGGCCCGCGGCAGCGCGCCAGGTCCACGTGCTCGCCCGTTCGCCCGCTCGTCGCCTCGGGAGCCCGTCGCTGCATCCGCTCGTCGCTCTGTGCGCCCGCCAGGTGGTCGGCGCGCCGATGCGTGGGCTTGCCACATGCAGCGCTGTTCGATTACAGTGGGAGGGTCCTCCTCCTCCTCCTCCTCCTCCTCCTCCCTCCTCCCTCCCTCCTCCCTGCTCCCTCCTCCCTCCTCCCTCCTCCCTCCGTCCATGCGGCAGGCCGTTACACCTAATAGAAAGCATTCCTGCCCGCGACCGCTCCCCGGCAGGTCGCACGTGCAGTGGAGGCCAGTCCACGAGAAACCTGCCACAAGAAACCCAACCCTGAGACCCCAAGACGTCCATGGATCTGTGGCGTGGGAACGTCACGCTTTCCGTCGCAAAGCCATCGAAGCCCAAGAAGCCCCCAGGGCACCCTGGAGGCAAGCAGGGTGTTTCTTGACATGGGCCTCCACTGGGTGACGAGCTTGAACGGGCTGTGTGGCAACCCCAACCACCGACGCAGGGCGGTGTTCGACAGGAGCACGAATTCTGGGCCCGCCTGTGGAATGCAGCCCATCGTGCTCCCAGGGGTAACGTCGAACAAGGAGCGAAGGGGCATGTCAGGCCACGGCGAACCTCGGCCACCAATACGTTCCACGACCTTTGATTCACCTTTCGGAGCTCTCTTGAGGTCTCTTGGAGGCCTCCTGGGAGCCTGAAGAGCCGCCCGAAAATTATCTCAGGTTGCTTGGGAGCGTCATGTGCCGTTATCTTGCTTCAGGGGGCCCTTGGGGGTCGTCTTGGGCTGTCCTTGGGCTTTTTGGGGGCTCCCCGTGAGGCCCGGAAGCGCGGTATGGGGAGCGTAACGCAGATGTGACAGTGAGGTGTGCGACCCCCCGGAGGGGGGGGGTTGTTTCATATCTCTCTATATATGTATACACATACATACAGACGCGCATGCATTCATACACGCAAGCACACATACATACACGCACATGCATGCATGCATGCATGCATGCATGCATGCATACATACGTACACGCACACATTGGATTGTGATACGGACATTCTCGGGAATTCTAAGAGCTAGCGAATACGGATGAGTGATCGGGCGTTATCCTCAGACTGCCAGACCTTTCTCGCCGCCTCCGCGGCGACGATCCGAGGGCCACAGGACTCACCCCCAAGGCGGGGCCAGGGCGCCCAGACATGCAGCAGCCTCACGCCGCACCGCTCCGCCGAACTGCGCTGCTCCATGACGCGTCGCCCCCGCTGCTCCAAAACGTCGGGGCTCTTCTGACCCGGGTCAATCCAGACCCAGGTCAGCAGGAAACCAAAAACGGCAATGCAAGACACAAAAACTGCAGCGCAGGTCTTCGCAAACCCGGGTCAGCCCATAGGCGCGGCCGCCCCTCGGCCACGAGCGGCTCGCTAACCCAGGTCAGCCAGAGGGGGTCTTCGCAGGATCCTGCAGGATGAAGCGCTCTGGCTAACCCCCGTCTGCATTGACCACTGTCTCAAGGCTCCCGAGAACGGGCCGCAGTGGCCACGCCGGCTGCCACATGCGCCGACCGTCCCTGCCCCTCTGCTGCCCCTCGGCCCCCCCCGCTCGCCCCTCGGGGCCTCGGGGGCAGGGCGCTCCTGAGTCTCCGGCGCGCCCGCAGGCCACCTGGGAGGGAGGGGGGCACCGACGGCTTCATAATAGTAATACTAATAATAATAACAACAGTAATAATAATAAAAATAATAATACTAATAACAAAAATAAAATTAAATTATAATAATAATAATAATGATAATAATTATAGAATAAGAATCTAATAATACTATTGATACTATTACTGAAATTAATAATATTACTAAGAAGAATACGAATAATATTGTTAATAATAGGAATAGGAATGATAGTACGTATAATACTAATCACAATAACTATAATGCGAATAATACATATAATAATAGCAATAATAGTAATACTAATTGTAATACTAATACTAATAATACTCCTAATACTAATGATAATAATACGAATGCTACGAACAAACATAAAAACAACAATGCTTCTAGTACTGCTACTATTAATAATGGTAGTTGTAAGAAGAATGAACATAAGAATATTCATACTCACAATAAGAATAATAATAAGAAGAAACAGAAGAAGAAAACAAAAAACGCCGAGGCGGACTTGTCACGTGACGACGCTGGGGCCCCAGCAGGGCGGCGCGCGTGGGCACCTGCCGCTTGCGCCACCTGCTGGGCCGACATGGCCCCAGCAGGGCGGCGGGGAGGCCGTCGGAGACCCGCTGACCCACTGCCTACGTCGAGGACTCCACTTCACGCGCACACCCCCAACAAAAATCCCCAGAGGACACCGAGGATCGCGCCTCGCAGGCACCGTGGGTCGAAGGCCACTCATCGGCGGATGCTGGGCTGGACGCGCTCGCATCGCAGGTCGTCCGCCGCCAGATCGCAAGACGAGCCGCAAGGCGACAGGGGGAGAGAGGGAGCGAGAAAGAGAGAGGGACACAGAGAGAGAGAGAGCGCGAGCCATTGGGAGAGCGAGAGACAACGAAAGAGAGGGAGAGAGAGAAAAAAAAAAAGGAAAGACAGACCGGGAGAAAGAGCACGCCAGCCTGGGCGCGCACGCGCGCACGCACAAATGCATGTGCAACCGCGCGCGCGCTCCGATACGCACGCACGCGCGCACAGAGTCCGCTACGAGCACCCAAAAGCATCTGACTCGGACACCCAGGGAGGTCTTCTTGATTTCCGGGAGTCCTCGGTGGCTCACGCTCTGCGCCCATCAGGCGCCCCCCGCGTGGATTCATTACGGAACCGGACAGCGCCTTACATCAGCCACGCTGTGCTGGGGCATGAAGCCCGAAGGCCCAATGGCCTGGCATTCGCGCGCGAGGCGCATCCAAGCCGCAAGATCGTCTTAAAATCCAGGGAAGCGGCCAGTCAGGGAGGAGGGACGCCCAGGACGTTAGCAAGAAACGCCCTCGACGGCCAGCAAAGGCCCAGGATGGCACCAGAGGTCCCGGAGACGGCCAAGGAGTGCCCCCAACAAAACCCAACAAAGACATCCCAAACGGACCCCAAGACAAGCCCAAAATGGCCCAAGGGGGCCGCATGAGAGCTCCAAGGGCAAGAAGAGGTGAAGGAAACCGGGATGGAAGAGGGAGGCAGCGACAAAAGGGAGAAGAAACACGAACGAACGAACCACCACAGCAAGCAGGTGTCCAGGCCTGCTCAGACCGGATGGGCGAAGCAATGGCCTCCTGTAGACATACCGGCATGCTTCGGAACTCCGAGTCATACAACACGTGATGCAAATTCGCAACACACGAGAAAGTATGACGGAGGAGGAGAGGATATGGAAGCTCTGCTTGTGAATGTTATGTTAGCGAACTGTTGATGCATGTGTGCTCGGGTCTTGACCACGTGGAGGAAAGCCGTTCGACTTGCATTTGTTTCGCGACGGCTGGCGTGGGCGTTTGATGCGGGTCGGGCCCACGCTGCCAGAGGAAACTGACAACGTCCCAGCGCTTGCGCGGGCCGCCACGTTGTCTCTGTCCGCGTTGGCGCGAGCTCTATCTTGGCTGCCAGTGGGTTGCACGCCGCGTCCATCTGGTGGGCTCATGGTTGGCACCCTTGAAGCCATGCGCCACAATCTCTTTCTGCGAATCGGCCCCCAGCGTTCAGCATGGCGATCCTGCATGACATTGCTCTGCGCGTCATGTGGCTCGTTGGGTGCAGTCGGCCCACGGTCCCATGGCATTCTCGTCATTGTCGTTGTCATTGCTCTCGCTGTGGGCCTGTCGTGTTTTGCTAGGGCGGAGTGATCTCCGCGTCGTCGCTGCTGCTGGTCGCTTGATGAACGCCGTCAGGTGCTCGGTTTCTGGCGCGGTCGCCCGCGTCGCCCTGGGTGCTGCTAGGGGTTGTCTGGCGGGTAGTGCGTCGCCTTGGTAACCTGATGATCACGCATGCGTCGCCGCGTTCGCCGCAGGAGCTGCCGAAACGGTTCCGCGAGCACCTGTCTCTGCCCCGTAAGATGCTGTAGGTGTCGCTGCGCAGATGAAGCGCTGGAGTCGGTGCGTCAGCGGGTGGTGCTTGCGCGTCAGCTCCTGCTTACGCGAAGCGCGCGTTGCCCATGCTGCCCCCGCGCGGAGGTGGATCTCCAATCTCCATCGCGCCATGAAAGCTGATGATTTGATCCAAGCACTTGGTGCGTCCATCGCGGGCAAAAATGTCGACGCCCAAGCCCTGAAAGCGCGCTGTGCGCGATTTTTCCCTGCCACCCGCCCAGTCCGGTTGCTGCGTCTGTCGGTTCCAGGACGGCGGTGCCCATGTCCGCGAGGTCGCGCTCCGCGCGCGACGTCGTTGGGCATCGCGGTGGAAACCAGTAGCGTTTGGGTGGCGAGGAGCGCGTCGTCGGTAAAGCGGAGGCCGGTGAGTGCGGAGGTGGTTGTGATTCCTTACTCGGCGCCCATGCCCTTCACTGGCGAATCGCAATCAGGTGTGCAGGGGTACGCGGTAGCAACGCGTTTAAAAGTATGGAACTGAGCGCGTCGCCCTTCTTTGTTTCCCAAGAGAGACTGAAGGACCAACTGCTGACGTTCGTCTTGGCCGGGGCCGTCTGTCCCTCGCGTATCTGCCGGCGAGATGGGATGCGCCTTCGTTGGGCGCGCTGCGCCTTCAGTGCTGCCCGCGCGCCGTCGTGCTCGGCTGCGCCAGGGGCTTTTGCGACGCCGAGTGCCGCCGCCCGCGAGTCCCAGCGTCATCCGCGCGCCCGCGATGGATGTGGCAAGCAAAAGAAAAATCAGTTATCGAGTGTCCAGGCCTGAAACCGGCCTGGTCTGCCGTTTTTCGGAAGTCGGGCATTGGTTGACGTCTGTCGTGGATATGTCTGCCGAAACAGCTTGCGACGCAACGGCATCGCGCATATGGGCCGATAGCTGTGCGGAAGCGTAAGACACCCATCCTTGGAATGACCGCGATGACAGAGCGCTTCCAAGCGTCGGCTCTGCCGCTAAGTCTGCAATGTCATACCGGGCCGTGCGCTTTGAGCCTTCTTTGTCTGTCACGTGTGCACTGGGAGTCCGCTGGCTGCGCGTCTCGATGCGCGGGGTACCTGTAAGGTCTCTGAACTGTTCGAGCACGCTTCCTACATGGGCTCGTCGTGTCCGCGACTCTTGAACGCGGATCTCTTGCTGCAGCAATTTGCTAAGTCGTTTGCGGGCGTGCCTGTACGCGTTTGCCGTCTAGCGTCGCTGTGCGATGAGCAGGCGTAGACGCTCTGTTCCTCCGTCTGGTTGTCGGTCTGGTCGTGGTCCTTCAGCGCTGCTGGCGGCGGCGGCGGCGATGGGAGCTTTCTGGGTGCGCTCGCCCAAGAATGGCTCGACGGTTGGTAGTTACCCTGCTTTCCGTCGTCGTCTTTGGTGGTCGTGGTGGAGGCTCGCATTCGTGATCTTGGCGGTCAGAGTAATGGGTGGCGCGTGTCTGTGCTGCCCTCGGTCGTCGTCGCGTCGCTGTCGTCTGGTTTCCATTGTTGCTGATATCTTCTGCTCGGCGACGACGGCCTAGCGGTCGGACCCCAGGTCGCGTTGTTGGCTGCGGCATTCGAGCAGCGCTTGTAGAATTTGCGTTTGAGCAGGAAATAAGCGCGCCATTTCTACGCATCGCCGCTGGTGCACGCGATCTGCTCAAGCACAGGTTTGCGAATAATGCGCTCGATGCGGTTGCTTGGGTGTGTGTGTGTGTTGCTGGTTGTATTGGTCTGGAATCGGATGCGTCGTTGTTAGCTCTTTGTTGCTGATCAGTGTTGGGTGGTGCGGGCTTGCTGGTGTTAGTCGGTTCCTCTGCTGGCGCTGGTGGTTGGTGCTGGTCGGTGGTGGTGGTTTGGTTAGGTGCTGCTGGTTTTGTTGGTCGGTGTGTACTGTTGTTGGTTGTGTTTGTTGGATGCACTCGAGGTTAACTGGGCCTGGTTGCTCGTGGTACTCGGTCGCTGCTGGTCGACGGTGTTGTTGCTGGTTGTGGTGGCCGGTGATAATCGGCATTGGGGCGCAACTTGCTGTGAACATGATGAATGCCACGTCGCCGTCTGCATGTGCATAGCCTTCTCTGCCACCGCCAGGGCTGCGTGCCGGCGCTGTCTTCTTCGAAGATGGTCGCGATGCTGGCCTTGACAAAGCAAGTCCTGAAAGCCGACACCCTTGAGAAGTGGGATAAGAACGTAAGTTCCCGGATTCGTCCTGCAGGACAAGCTGACATTCCTGGGAATACTCGTCTGGACTCTGTTTGGAGACAGTGGGACAGGGAAAAGAAACAACGAATGCATATGTAAATGAATTCTGGAAAACTGGTGGAATTTAAAATTGTGGGCCATCTTTGCCTCATTTACCCCAGACGGAGGGGCATCCGTTCACTCAATTTCGGCCGCTGGCTCGGGGTCTACCTTTTCCTGCGTGTGTCCATGGTTGCCTCCACGTCCTTCTCAACCTTATTGGATGTCCCCGTAATGCGCCAACCCCTGGCCTCGTCGATCCAGGCCACCTTCCAGCCGTGAACCTCCACCAGGCTCTTCCGCCAAACGATTTTGATGTCCTCATCGACTCATCATTGGCGAGGCCCTTGCGGGCAAACATGGCCGCACCTCTGTCACGTTTA